GCGATTTGTTTTTCCATAAATTTAGACCAATATGATGGAGTGAAATACACGTCATACTTCCAGTTGTTCAAGTTTTGTTCCGAACAATTATTTGCGTTTGTATAGGCACTTTATTATTATGTTTTGTAGGAAAAAAATGTCATGTTTTTTTTTAGTTTCACTTTTAAGTGAGGGTTTATATTAAGCAAAAAATATAAACTCATATGAGCTTAACTAAATTAACTAAATACAAATTGAACAAATGTTTCCTACAAAATAAAAACGAGAAATCAAAGTATTCAAATATATTTTCAAAATTAAAATTTTATTCCAGCTTATTTGTCTAAAACCTTATTGGTCTGTGAAGAATGCCACGTCCCTTAAACAAATATCGGGCAATACACTAGTGGAAAAGTCTTATCGTTCAGGTGGTTATTAAAAGGTAAAATAATTTTCAAACTTTACGAAATCGGAAAAAGTTTGGAAAAACGTTTCTATTGCTTCTTAACGCGTTATTTATATTCAAGAAAAAAAATGGAAATGCTTCCATCTGTAGAGCTTAAAGTATATAATATATATACTATAAAAGTAACAGCTACGGATATTGTTATTACGAAATAAATGCTGTTCAAATTGCACGGCACGTACGCGTGGCGACGATATCCCATCTCGTTGAAACTAAAGTATTACCCAGAGGTAGGTATAGGTTCGGTAGATAAAATTCAATCAAACTAAGATTGAACCTATACATATTATATACGTGCTTTACTCGGGGCCCGTATAACTCAATAACGGGAATATAAGACAAAACACGGACAGCGTATATTCGCCGCATTACATTAAACTGTACTGCTATCGAAGTTACACCGACCGACGAGAAACTAGCAAGTACTAAATGAGCGGAATCCGAGTGAATTTTATCAAAATTGAAAACGACGAATATTATACGCAGCCGAAATTATGAGGAAAATATACGTATCGTTAAAAAAATTATCGTGCTCACCCGACGCCATCTGATAGAATAATATGACGAGGAAAAAACTGATTACAAATCAATGAAATTGAAAATAATAATTGAATAAATTATTGAAGATAAAAATGATGATTTTTGACATGGCAATTAAGTAATAGAAACGCGGCAACAATATTTCTTGTACAGAAATAATATTGGTCGGAATCTCGGCAATGAAGGAGAGTTATTTTGGATGGATCTAAAATGTCTGTGTCAAAAAGTATTCTGAGCGACGAATCCATTGGCTTTAGTGTACAATAGTGATCTGTGAATTTTTCTTTTTGGAAAATATACATAATAATGATTTCTGTTATTTTCGTATAGTATGTTTATTGTTGCTAATAATTAATATTATTATTGTTGTGGTTGAAAAAATTCGTAGAAACACGATATGTTTACCGAATTGCTTCATTAGTCTCCTCTAGACGTGATCCAATAAATTATTTTCAAAAAATTCTGGCCATTTTCAGGCTATTTATATTGAGCATTTTTTTTTTTTTTATATATATATTTGATTTGGTTTAATATGTGGATTAAATTATTTCGACCCGGAGACAATGACCAAAAATTAGACACACCAAGTGCATTAAAATATGTAAGTACTTAGAGGTGGAAAAAAAAATAATTAACGTACCACTAATTAACGCTCAGAATCATATTTGGTCGTTAGCAATGATTTATGTTCTTACACAGATGTGAATTAAATTTGACTCGTATATAGATATACTCTACCTTCCCAACTTTCCACCTATAATAATGGCACATCTATCGTCAGAATTAGCTCCTTTTTTTCATATCGATGTATTAGATACGGCTAATAGGTACCTATATAAGTAGGTACAGAAAATGTATAATAATTAAACTTTGAAGTGTTTTAATTAAATCTCGCGAGAGAGATATATTACCGCGGGGTATTAAACGAGACCATCGTTACGGTAGTGGTTTTCTTAAACGAGATGCATGAAGTTTTGTACCATTATGTTTTTTTTTTTAGAAACAAGATTTTAATACGTTTTACCGTAACGATTTATCGCATAGTTATTAATCGAATTAGCAATAGCAGTTGAGCACACGTAGATTTAATCGCGATCACTGCTGCGCCACAGTTTCGATTAAAACGGAGAACTTTCGAATTACTGTCGCATGCGAATCGTATAAAATTATCTTAACAAACGATAAATAAACACCGGTATGTGTACAGAATGGAACACTACTCGAAATCTGAGCATTGCACAGTTGCACAAGTACGCTCTATTATAATACTCATAACTGATGATGTCAGACGATGAACATAAAATTGAATTATTTCGTCAACCCGTTAACGAAAAATGCAAATTTCAACGCTAAAATTTATTTAAACTGTGACTATTTGTGGATTTTTTTTTTTAAAGATATGTTGCTATTTGAAATTCAAAAGTGGGCAGTGATTTTACTTCCAAAAATTAGTGGAGACAGAAAACTGACGGAATTGTAACATTTGATAACTGTTCGTTTCTTGAATTTTCTAAAATAAAAACTCCGAAAATACTGGAAATGGTGTTAATACTTTCCATAATGACGAGCATCTTTGTGTTTTGTTTATCATCCTCCTATATAGCGAAAACGGCCGTTCTCACAGTCGTCGAATTATTATTTCGGAAATAAATGTTTGTCGTAATTCAATTATTTTACAAAACACGTATAGGTACCTAAAACAACAATCTCCGATTCAGACTTGTATCCATAACGATCGTGCATTAATTCGAATGTGGAGACTAACAGACCTATACAGGTGGGCACGCGGGTAAACACTTTCAGACATTTCATAACACTTTTTAAAGCGAATTATTATTTTAAGCGACATTTCATTATATTATAATGCTGCACGAGTTAATGAAAATCATAATATTATTATTGTTATGTTTCGTTGTAGAGTCATCAAAACGGCTTAACGAGCGGGTACGGTAGAAAATAAAAATATACAAATTTCCTAGGCGGTTTCTGCAGACATTATTGTTGTCCTGATCTAACGGATTTCGTATTTTATTGGTTTTATTAACATGACGTGTGATTTTTTTTTTATCTCTACTTGCAAATACATTTTCTATTAGAAATTTCGCTTCAGTTATCAGAATAGGATTTATTCTGAAAGGAAACTTTGGTACAACTCTCGGCATAAGCTTCAACATACCGCGAACAATGCGTGCAATAATATTATAAATGTAAACGCTTTTTGATACTAATTATTCAACGCTATTCTGGGTTTATCACTTATACACTCTCATATTACATAGGGTTAGTTTTCTAAAATAATGAAATATTATAATAATTATTACGACGTCGTTGTTCTTATAATAACAATACTTAATATAATTTTATAACCATGATAATATAGGTAACGTGACTAACGTAACCAACATCTTAAATTAAATATATTGTACTATCATGTACTTTTTTGGTATATATCATACACATATGACACGCAACGGCTAATTAATTTGATACCTAGCAGATAAAATGGAATTTAATGACTTTGTTTCTATTTTGAACTAAAAATGTGTATACGCTGTATTGTATATAAATTGATTAGTTTAAGTGCCTACACTCAATATGCCAAATAGCAATTGGTTTTTCAAAATTTAAATTGAGCCTACGATATTCTAAAACTGCATAATATTTTAACTTATTCACCCTTTCTTTTTAGAGGTATAACCAGTATAAGTTTTTGATTTTGAAATGATAACATATGTTAATAATGTATATTTGTCTACAAGTCGGTGTTGAAATTTTTAATTTTCGTCAACCCGTTGAAGAAATACTCTACTTTTTTAGTTTAGGAAATGTGAGAATAGTGGAGTGCTATTTAAATGGGTCATGCTTTGCACATAGATTACGCTCCATTACTCTCTCCCTATCGAAACTTAATAGTGCAATACCTGGCGAAGGTTTATCTATTTAGTGTGCATGGTATGTATAGAACCTAACCGACCCTCCCCTAATCTTTTTTTTTTTTTGTTAAATTTTGATATTTTATTGAGTTAATTACTAAAAACTTATTATTATTAATTATTTTTTTATACATTAGATAACCCTTAGATAAATATCTAAATTTTCATCTAGATAAGATAAAAAAAAATATCAAAAAATCAACCAGTTATTTATTTTATTCATTTATTTTGATAAGTTTCAACACTGGTTAAATGTCTGGTTTGAATCTCATAATTTTTATAAAAGTTTCTAATATACGAAACACCGATAGTAGACATTTAAATTGATCACTGTATTATAATGTAATCGTTGAGAATATCAGAATAGAAAACTCAATTGGCTGTATGGGAGCATAAAAATAAATTGACAACGCTAGAAGAAGCAATTTCATTGGCTATTTTTGACAATATTCTATGCATTTACCTATACAAAATACTTGTTAATAGTATATTATGCGATACTGGAATATGTAATATAGTTAAATCAATGTTATAATGCATAACTGATAAAATCACTGCCAGTGACGGCCATGACACCTGCGTATACTGCGTATCACAAAGTTGCCATCATGCGTTATAGTATAATTTAGTCTAGGATAATATTATGTTGTGAGCTGCGTGCTACAGATAATAATGTTATTAACACGACACGAGTTTTAGATCGGAAAAATAATATTATTTTCGAACGTTTATAGTATATATTTTATTAAAATAATAATATTTTCTATCCGAGAGTGAGTTGTATTAGCCACGCGCATATATTTGAATAATGATTATTTTAGAAAGTTTCGCATAATACTCATGAGTATTATAATATTTTATAATTTTTTTATTCATTTTAAACTCGCGGAGGAATTACAAAATAATAAATTTGAAAAAAACTCTAATATAATATACTAGGCATCTAAATCTTAAAATATATATATATATATATATATATATATATTTTAAGATTTAGATGCCTAGTATATTATATTAGAGTTTTTTTCAAATTTATTATTTTGTAATTCCTCCG